GCCTCTGCCTCCCAAGTGCTGGGATTAAAGGCATGCGCCACCATACCCAGCAAATATTTATTATTTTTATTATTTTATGTGTATGAGTGTATTGCCTGCACGTATGTGGTGCACCTGTGGAGGAGGTCAGAAGAGGGCTTCAGATTCCCCTGGAACAGGAGTTTAAGGACGGTTTGTAGCCACCATGTGGGTGCTGGGAATCGAACCTGGGTCCTCTGCAAGAGCAGTCAGTGCTCTTAACTGCTAAGCCATCTCTCCAGCCCCGTAATTATATTTTTTTAAAGAAAGAAATGGGTAAAATTAATGTTGACAAAAGATATATTAGCATTTCTATACATAAACAATAGAAAAAAGAGTGAGTGAGACTTTTACATTTGTTTCCTTCTTAGTAGCCTGTGCAACGTGGTGCAATTTGCATTTATACCACATGTAAGACCAGCAACATTTCAGGTACCCAGTAGACCTGTGGAGTTTGTTTCTACCATACTGAACAGGATATGCACTCCTCACATGTGAGGATGAACTAGAGAGCCTTAAGGCCTTCTTAGGTCTGTGGTGCCGAGGTCGAGATGCTCAGCTTCTCTGCCGCACTCTGCAAGCAGGGCACTGAGGTCAGGCTGTGGGAATGCATTACTGTCAAATATTTCAGCCTCATCTCCTGAGCAGGTGTGCAACTTTGCTGGGAAGCAAAGTAGAGGAATCTACCCTTGGAGAAACTTCTGCTGGCTTCCTGATCAGTGAAAAAAAGACACAGACCAATTAGTGTTTGCAGCTGCTTTATGGCAATGACTTGCTGAATTATTCAACTTAAAGAAAGTGATTTTATTAATTTTTTTCCTGTGTTAGTTTCCGCCTACTGGGAAATATCCCTTGAGAAATACAAACAGAATTTTTCCTATGAATATTACAACTAGGGTGTATGTTTAGATTATCTTCTTCCAAGCCTTCTGATTGCACAATTGTCTTTTTCTATTCTTTTCTGGTCATTGATCAAGAAAATTGGACTGGGTCCAATAGTTCCACATTTCTTTAAATCTGATTTCTTTTAACTAGGCAGAGAGAAGATCAGATGCTATGTGTCAGCTTCCCATCTCTATAACAAAACACTTGAGATAGTCAAGCTATAAAGAGGTAAGTTTGAATTAATTTGGATCTTTTTAAATTCTTAGATCTTTACATTTTTTGTTTATTTTTATGTGTATGAGTGCTATGCCTGTATGTATTTAAGTGTACCCATAATGTCTATAGAGACCAAAAGAGGGCATCAGATTCCCTGTAATTGAAGTTATGAATGGTTGTTAGCCACCATGTACATTCTGAGAACTGAGCCTGGGGCCTCTGCAAGAACAGCCAGTGTTCTTAACCACTCAACCATCTCTCGAGGCCCTAATTTGAATTCTTAAGATGAGGTCTCATGTAGACTGGGCTGGCTTTGAATTCCCTAGGGAGGCAAAGATGATGATGTACCCGATTCTCCTGCCTCTACCTCCCAAGTGCTGAGATTCCAAGCATGTGCCATCCTTCCTGGCTGACAGCCTTATTTTAGTTCACTCTTGTGGAGGCTCCAGTGCATGACCAACTGGTCCTATTGCTCTTAGGCCTGTGGTGAGGCAGTGCACCATGGCCAGTGTATACGGCACAGCCAAACTGCTCACTTCATGGTCAGGAAACAAAGATAAAGAGGAAGAGCCTAGGGTACCACAAACCCCTTCAAAGGCACACTCCCTAAGTCTCTTAGCAGTTCCCATCTCTTAAAAGGCTCACCACCTCCCAACATTACCTGAGGACCAAGTCTTGAGCACACACATGGATTTCCAGTACTGCAGTACTGACGACATACCAAATAAAGTGCAGGGTGCTTTGGCTATGGCGTGATGTCTGTCTCCCTTTCCTTCTGCAGGGATGAGCAGTTTTTAATTATCCTAATCTTCAAATGGTACTAATCCTAGGAGAACCAATGTTTATTTGTTTGGTTGTTTTAAGACAGCCTCTCCCTGTAGTCCCAGATGGCCTGGACCATGCTGTGTAGACCAGGCTGACTTGGATCTCATAGGGATCTGCCTGCCTCTGCCTCCTGAGTGCTGGTATTAGAGGCGTGCTCCACCACACCTGGCAGAGAACCAATGCTGATGAGAGATTGAGCAAGGAAGAAAGGATGTGATATTATTATTTAACTTCTAAAATGAAAACTGTGTCCTGCCAATTCACATATTTCATTCATGGAGTCCTGCTAAGTCCTGTATAGCAATGCCCACTGGAGTTCACAGTTCTGTTGGTGTGACAAGACTGACCCACTAGAATGATTAGAGAATGCTTTGCCCTAAAAATGACAAGGGATTTGCTTACGAGGGCTCTGCAAACTGGCTAGGCTTAGGAGGTTAGAACTGAAAAAGTTCTGAGGCTATGTAGTTTGATGTTGTTTTACTGATTAGGAAACAGGGACCAAAAGAGGTTAAAATATTTCAAGTTCAAAAGTAACCATAAAAGCTGGGTGTGGTGGTGCATGCCTTTAATCCCAGCATTCGGGAAGGTAGAGGCAGGGGGACCTCTGTGAGTTCAAAGCCAGCCTGGTCTACATAAGTGAGTTCTAGGCCAGCCAGGGCTACAGAGTGAGACCCTGTCTCAAAAAAAGAAAAGAAAGAAAAGAAAAGAAAAGAAAAATGGATCAGATCACCCAGAATTCTTGCTCTTAGTATTCATTGCAATATATATTGCACCACAGTTCCCTTGCTTGGGATAAAGGAATGCTGTTCCTCAGGAAAGGTTTTAACAGACCACAGATTGCAGATGGTCTTCATTCTTGCTGCCCATTTGCAATCCCAAGCATATTCAAATATTCTGAGCCCAGTCAGCATTTCCAAAAGTCCTGGCAAAACAAACAACAAACAAAAACAAAACAACAATGAGAAGCCTCCACTTACTCCCAAACTCCACCATTAATTTCCACACAGGAGGGAGAATTTCTAATTTAGTTGTCTAAAGCAGGAAAAGACAGTTAGAGTACTCCAGAGGTCAGTTCTGAGTTTGGAAAGAGGGAATCTGGAAATGGATATTGGCACAAACTTCCCTTCACACAATACCTCAACCACATCAGACTTGCTAATGAGGGTGGGGTTAAAAACTAATGAGAACAGCACACAAGCCACCTATGGGAGCCAGGCAGCTGGCAAAGGCTCTGAGGGGTGGCTGGCAAAGATTAGCCAGGGTCAGGACTTGTATGAATGAAGGGCTGATTAGCCTGCCTCACACAACTGTGGTCTAGTAGTTTAACTCCTTCAACTTGTCAACTGTTTCTAAAGAGTATGCTCACACTGGTATCTGTCTCCAAAGCAGTTTTGTACACTCTGTACCATCTTTCCAGCCGCCTCTGCTCGAACAAAAAGCAGAGGGGAAAATTCACACTGTGGCACTGTTCTGTACACAGGTTCAGTACTCAGAGGTCCTGAAAGAAACACTTTGTAGTACTTGATTAAAAGAATCACAACAGAAACCTGGAAATCTGGGCTGTAGAAAGTGCCAGTGTTAAACAGTGTTCGCCAGTCCTGTTTCTTTTGGTGTGATTTTATCTGAGAGACAGGTAAAGAAATGCACATCTTGCTTTAACCCGGCTGTTTTCCTGGGGAATCTTTGAGGCATGGTGTTAGGAAGTGAAGACTATGCAGAGAGCTTATGACACTTTTGTTTTCTATTTGCAAGTTCTTGTAAGAGGCTGATGGAGAGCTGGGTAGAGGTAGGAGAAGGAACAGGCTGACCTATAGATGCTAAGATACAGTCAAGATATTATACACATTTCTGTTTAGGGTGAATCTCACTTTTGTTAGCATTGGCTATTTTTCCTCCTCTTTAAGCTCAGCGGTCCTAGAAACAGTCCCACCATGCATTTATTCTAGAATGCTTTCTCCCTTGTTCGAAAGATGCAGCATGAACCAGGAGTCGAAGGCACTTTGGTGAATGAAAGTTTCTAAGTCCTGGCTGGTTAGCGTGACTAGAATGCATGGAAAAGTATGCGTGGAGAGGTTTGAGATCCTTGGAATTAATGGCGTTTACTTTGGCTCAAAGGTCGGGTCTTGGTGGGCTGGGGGCCCCGAGGACAAGAGCCCATAACCCCTTTCTGTCTCCGGCACTGCTTTGGGGCGCGCCCACTTCTAAGCTAACCTGCCAGTCCAAGCTGTAGATGTCTCCCTTCTAACTTCTGAACAGAGAAACACAACGTAGCCAAGTTTTGTTTTGCCACCTGAGGCGTGTGAGGAACCAGTCGCTCCAACCAATGGGCTCTGTCCAGGTCCAGAGAATGTGAGTATGTTCTAGTTTACTTTCTGTTCAATACTTTTGGGACCTGTAACCCATTCGATTCTGGTTAAGAGGGGCTTGGATCAGCAACTCTGACTCCTCACTTTTCCCTTTCCCACGACCACAGATGACTTTGGAAGTTGACCAGAATGAATACTATCTGGGACTTCCTTCGACCCCAGGGGTGGGTCGAAGCACGATGGTTTCCACTAACTTCAAATTAAGATGTGGAGACAGTTCCGTGCACAAGAGTCCCACGGTCTGCAGAAACTAAGGGTCGGGGGGCTCAAGGTGTGGGTGGCTGCGGCCGCCCGAGCACCTTCCGCAGGTCCCGGGCCGGGTCACCTGACTCCGGGAATTTGGGGCCGAGCAGGGGGTGAAGGGGAGGGGAATGGCTAGCACCTCCTTTCCGCTCCCGCTGGATCCAGGTCGGCGGGGGCCGGCGCCCGGCGGCCACGTGGTGGTGCTGCGGCTGCCCCCGCCCGGCGGGCTGCGCCCGGGAGCCGCGGCGCCCACTGACCCGGCGGCGGGGAGGAGGGACCGAGCGCAGGAAGCCGAGGAGGAAGCGAGCCCGGCAGCCGCGCTTTCCTGGGGAAGCGGCGGGCGGGGCGGCGCGGCCAGTGGGGCCGGGAGCTGCGGCCGCCGCCTGGATGCGGTGAGTGCGCGGCGCGGAGTCGGGACCTGCGGGCGGGACGGGCTGGCGTCCCCGCCTTTGTGTCTGGGGCTGAGCAGAGTGACTGCGCGAGGGGCCGGGGACGGCAGCGGGGACCGCGAGGGCCCCGCCAGGCTCCGTGGCCATCCACGATCCGCGGAGGACGGTTTTAAGGAAGGGGAGGATGGCGGGGACCAGGGTGGAGAGGGAGGACCGGCAAGTTAGAAGGGGTTCCTGCTGCGACTCGTGGGGCTCCGGAAGGAGCGCGGGTGGGAATGAATGAGCAGACCCGTGGGGACAGCCTGGGCACCGCGGCTCAGCCCCCGTCCCACCTGCGCGGCGTCCCGCTCCCGGATCCTGCTTCTGGACTCGACCCGCCTCTCCGCTGAACTTGGAAGAGCCAGGCGAGGAGGTGCGAGCGGGAGACGCCGGCAGACTCTGGAGACCCGTGGTCCGCTATTGTTCCTCTTCCGACTCAGGGGAGCTCTTGGGCTGGCGGGAGGGCGCAGGCTAGACCACCCCGGGCCGGCCACAGCCCCAGACCCCCGCCCCCATTGTCCTTTTCCCACCTCAGCTAGGAGGAGGGGGAGGAGCAGGGATGCTGGAGTGAGGGCACTGGGGCTTAGGTCTCCATCCATTGCTACCACTGTCTGGGAGGGTGGGCATCCTCCCTTACTTTCTCACTTTCTCTCTTGGGCTAGTCTTTGCTGGCGCAGTATGTTCTGCAGTTTGCACCATTTTCTTCTAACCCCTTTAGGCTAAGCATCTCATTTGGGGGCGGGCAGGGAGGGGAGGCCTCAAGAGTCTGGAAAGGCAACAGCTGGGTAATTATGGCAGATGGAGCCTACTGTGACTTGAAGAGGCTGAGGTGACCTCGCAAAGGCCTGAACTTTATAGAAAGCCAGGCTTTCCTTTCTAAGGAGCAGAGCGCAGCGCAACTTTGCTTCCAGTTATGTCCGGCTAAGTGTGCAGACTCAAGGACTACCTTGTACCCGCCACTTTGCTTCTCTGAGCTCACAGGAGATCTGGATGGGGATTCCCTTGTGGAAGAAGAAAGCACGGAGATGCCAGGGACAGGGTAGACACTGCTTATTTATTCTCTGAGGAATGTGTTCTTAAGGCCATAAAGACTGGGCCGAAGGACGAATTAATTCTGTCCGTTAGTAGCACCTAGCAGAAGCTTATTTTAGTGAGGAGCTGCATCTCCTAGGGGTTTGAACACAGCCTGCAAATCCCAGGGAGTCTGGACTTTGATTGCTTTGTTTCATGTGTGTTGGGTTCCTGTTTACATGGGTGGCAGCAAATTTTATTCCTGATGGATATAATTTGATCATCTTTTGTTAGGGATAACTTACTCTTTGGCTTATAAAACAGTCAATTTTATTGGAAAAAAATATATCCAATTCTTCCCACTATCCAGTGCTTGCTTAATAAGGATTGGGCTGTCACACAGTTTTCATCTCCAGTCACTGAGATGCTACATTATTGAATTTGTTGTAGCATTTAAATCCCTAGGTTTGTTTTATGACTTTAAAGGACAGCCATCTCTCCAGCCCAGCTGTCAAATTCAGGGCCTCTAGTATGCTAAGCATATGTTCTATCATGGAGTTATACCCTTGCCACCACTCCCATCCAAATTTATAGGTAAAGAAACCGAGATTCTTTGTTAAAGACAACTGGGCCTTGGAGTTAATACACTGTAGTGAAGAACTTTTGTTTTTCCCTCTCTTCCTTTCCTTCCTTCCTGCTTGTCTTGCAAAATAAATATAAATAATTCAAGTGTCCATAAAAAGTGAACATAGGTGGGCTGCAGAGTTGGCTCAGCAATTAAAAGCACTCGCTGCATTTGCAGAGGACCCAAGCTTGGTTCCCAGCACCCACACCAAGTGACTCAAAACCACCTAAGTGTAACTCCAGCTCCAGGAGATCTGACACCCTCTTCTGGTCTGTGTGGGTGCACATATGTGCACATACATTCACACACAAACACATACACATAATAAATAAATCTTTTTTTAAAAAGTGAACATAAGCATTTTCTCACTACCTAGGTATAAGAGTTAATAGATCCGTATTTTCTTCATATAGTTCCTTCCTCAAATAAAAACATTTTAATGAAGAATTTAATCTATCCCTCCTCCTCTGAGTCCAGCCTTGGGTAACCAGTAATGTGGACTTAGTTCGTAGTGTTCCTGAGTGTATTTTGGTACTTTTATGTATTATACATCTACAAAAATGATTTTTTTGCAAATTTGTATGGAACATTTTACATTAATGTAGTTTGCATTTTTAATAAACTTATTTGGGGGGGGGTTCATGTAGATCTTTACTGACTTTGGCCACTACAGAGTGTGAATATATGACAATGTACACATCCCCTCGCAGTTTCCAGTATTTCACAGTTACTGGCACTTTTGTAGCTGAGGGAGGGTCTGTTGCTAGCTACTTAAACAAACAAACAAACAAACTATAAAAAGCTGTGGTACAATCCACATCCTGAGCCAGATTTCCTTGTGGGCAAATTGTCTGTGCAGTAACTTACTGGGATAGTGAGGTCTTGGAAGGCTGCTTTAATTATTTCACTTATTTCTCAGCTAATATTTAGGCTCTCTTTTGGCTGTCTGTCACATGAAAAAGTGGAACGCTGATCAGTTTGAAACTCTAAATGGTAGGCTATATTAATTTGCTTTTCTTAAAAAGATAAAAGTTCTTCAGTATTGTGCTGAGTTTGGGATACTTAGTGGGGCTGGTTGTTGGTTGTCTGATCTCGGATTACTCACTCAGTGTCCTCTTCATCATTTCTTCCTTGGTAAACCCAAGGGTTTAGTAAGCATGTGCAGAGGCCGGTCCCTGGTATATGAAATGTGGCTGTGTTCACGGCATAGTTTGCCCTTAACTTCTCAAACTAGAGGAGTTTATGTGCATTTCAGCACACTGGCTTCCATATTTTCCCTTCAAACTTCCTGGCACATCCTGGCCTCTGAGCTTTGCCTTTGCAGTTCTTTCTGCCTAGAGCTCTTCCACATAGGTGTGGCCTGCTTCCCCGAGGTGTTCACTCCGACACTCCCAGGATGCCCTGTAACCTCGTCCCTACTTTATTTTCCGTTGTGGCCCTTGCCACTTTCTACCTTGCCAGGCATGTTAACTTATATTAGAATTATCTGTCTTTCTATACTAGAGAGTATATGCCACAAACACAGGCATTTTTGCTTCTTTTTTATTGTTGAATCCTGAATATCCAGAGCAGTGTTGACACAAAGAAATTACTCATATTTGATAAATATAAATGGATATAAGGTACTTTTTATTGATTCAGGGTCTAACTATGCAGCCCAGGCTGGCCTAGAACTCACTATCTGGATTAGACTGTCCTCTAACTCATTCTACTCCCACCTCTGCCCTCAGGTATAGAATTACAGGCACATCACCAAGCCCAGCTATCAATATTATGCTTAAAAAAAATTTTTTTTTTCCTACTTGAAGCTCAATCTGGTGAGATGGCTCAGTGGGTAAAGGCACTTAGCACACAAGCCTGGCAACCTGATTTTGATCCCTGGAACTCACAGAAAAGTGAAAGGAGGGGCCGGGAACATGGCTTAGTGGGTAAAGATGCTTGCTGACAACCCTGATGACCTGAGTTTGGTCCCTAGGACCCTCATAGTAGAAGGAGATAATCATCTCCTGTAAGTTGTCCTCTGACCTATGGCACATATGCCCTCCCCCAATAAATTTTTTAAAAATTAAAAAAAATTCTACTTGAGATATTCCCCCTCCTCTCGCATCCCCTTTTCTTCAGCACATATTGGGCATCCTGGGAATGTTAGGTGTTCCATAGCTATGATCAAACACCCTCCATGTCATTTACAGATTCTAACAGGATAAAAAACACAAGAAACCACTCTGTTTTACAATGTAATCCATCTCACACAGCACTTGTGTCTTGGGATATTTTTCACCCAATTTTTTACCTAAATCTAAATTCAAAGAACAGTGAGTAACAGGATGCTTGATAATGCGCTCATCTTTTTTTTTTTCTTGATAATCCTGTTTTTCTGATGTTATTAATGTGAAAGGTGTAAAGGGGGGAGGCTTACCCTCCCCTCTACACAGAATCTGTCCAGAGTCTCACAGTCTCCAGCAATACCAACCATGGTGAATTTCTAAGAACAGAAAAGCTTTTCTCTGAATTGTTGGAGAGAATATGCATATTACCCTGACATGCCTTCATCTGGGAAGATTGCAGGACAGGGTGTTTGCATGGTGGTGGTAAAATGACCTTAATCTGAAGATCCAGGAGCAACCATTATGCATCAAGGAACCCCCAAACACTGCAGCATCAGGAAGCCCTTAACTCATGGTAGAGAAAATATTCACTGTTACAGCACAAGGCTTTATTTTGCCAATAGCCAACTGAATTTTCTCTACTTTGGGTGATGAGTGTAGGAGTTGACAGAACAAAGCTCAATATCAGAGGCCTCAAGTGTACTTTCACTCATAGCGAAAGGAGTCTAATTATTTTTTTCAGTTAAGTATATAGGCAAATGATACTGATGGCATCCTCAAAAAATGGCTAGCACATAGAATTTCAACCATTTTTTCTCTAGTAAAATGACAGTGAATGAAATCAGCATGTTATGGGTCAAGAGAGGCGTAGTTAACCACAAGCAGTGAATTATATGATTGTTAGTAGAGTGTTATATAATATAATGCGAGTTCCTCTCTTTGGTTGTAGATACAGGTGATAGAACAAAAGTGAGAGGATTACTCGTCATGTGTCCCAATTTCTAGTTCCAGATTATTTTCAGGGAACAAAGAACAGATTTGCTGATGTGTATCATTAAACTTAGTTAACATTTTTAAAAGTACCTCTATTGACTAAATCATGTATTTAAAAATAAAACATATTTTCTTAATTGAGGGAAATATACCTCATTCAGATTTATACAGGGAGTCCAATAGATGTCTGGCACAAGACATATGATTAGTATTTATTGAACTACACA